CTATGCAAAACAATGCCATCTACACGCCATCATGGACACCGTATTCATGCAGTGCTCAGGATACATGCATACAAAATATCCATGCACGTAAAATAAAAATAAATATATCAAAAATGTGGAGCCCCTGGTAAACAGCCCACACTCCAGTAGGCAACCATGCAGGCATGCATGGCTGCACAAATTAGAACTCATTTTTGATGAGCAGCAACGTGTTTTGTATCATTTCTTCCCTAAATGTGTAATATGGATACATTCAAAACCTAACAAACACATCTCCTGATTTTAAATGTTTGACACAGATGGTGTTATTTCTACTTACTGTTTAGTTTGTTGAGATTCTTGGATCTAAAACAAAAGTTATTTCACAAAATCTGATGGAAATTTCAGTCTACAGTTTTTCCAAGTAAGTTTTTTGCTCTAGTCTCTCATTTCTTCACAAGTCTCCTTTGTAAGTATGAAATCATGGTGTTATCCCACAAACCAGTTTCTTGCTGATTCTTTCAGTGTTTCCTCTTTTCGTTTCTTGTATTCAATAATAACTATATTTTATTAGTTCTTTATTATTGAATAAAACTTAATCCAAAATTTACTGCTTTGAAGTCACAGTATTCATTTGTACAGAATTCCAAATAATCTTGAAGGATTAACTATCTCGTTTGAATTATTTTGACTCAGTCTCCCATGAATTTGTAGTAAGATGCTCACTGGGCCCGAAGTCACCCAAGGCTTGATTTGAGTTCAGGATCTACTCCCGTGGTAGCTCACTTGCTTAGCTAGAGAGTCGGGTTCTCTTTCTAGGAACTTGCATGTGTCTGCCTGAGTGTCCTTTCTTCAGAACGAGCACATAAAGGAAGGAAGACGTCATCTGCTCTGCCTTTATGACCTGCACGTCCATCATGTTCTGTTTTTCACCTGGGCCAGCCATGGTTCAGCGTGGGAGGGGAGCTCAGGCTTGACTATGCGGAGGTGAAGTTTACTAAGCTCTGTCTTAGGCATTGATGATCGCTGACGGGAAGTTCACCAGCCCTGCTTTCTGTCAACTGCAGTCTTCCCGAGCCCTTTGAATTTCTAAAATTCAGATAATTTATATTGGTCCTAAAATCTCCGGTAATCCTTTTGAGTATTTTTTTAGTTCTCTGGTAGGAATCCCCCCCTCCCGCTTGCCAGCATTATTCTCATTATCCTACTCTCTCTTTTAATCATTTAAACACTTATATTTTCTGTTTTAAATATTTCTTCATCAGTATCAAGTGATGAATCATCTTGGAATTAGTTTGTGTAATTTTACTATCAGCCCCAATTCATGTTTCCTTATCATTTTATCTGTCTAGCAATTTTTAAAATTATATGCTAGATGTTATCAAGAATTAGCTGAAGAGATTCAAATTGTTCTACTTCTCAAACAAACTTATTTCTTAATTCTGTCACTCAAACACACATTTAAATTAGTTTAACTTTTTAAAAAATTGTTTACTTTGTGTGTATGGCCTGCATGCCCATCTGTTTGAGGGCGTCAGGTCTCTTGGAACTGGAGTTACAGTTGTGAGCTGCCACGTGAGTGCTGGGAATTAAACCTGGGTCCTCTGGAAGAGCAGCCAATGCTGTTAACCACTGAGCCATCTCTCCAGCCCAGTGTCATGTAACTCACACTTCAAACCATGCACCTTTCCCCTTAGCTCTTTACCCTTCTGGTTATCCCCCCACCCCCAGGTATTATTGAAAGCCAGCACACATTTCCACAGCTTAAGAAATTGGCACAGATTGTGTATGGACTGTAAATTTCCCCATGTGGTTCATATTTTTTTCTTCAAATTTCTTCTCAGTTTCTACTGCCCTGCTAGTGCAGAAATGTCTGTTGTCCGATACAAAAAGATATGAAGACTGAAACTTGCTCAAAAACATTTCTTTTTCTGTGGGTGACACAATTCTCATTTCATCCCAACTCTGTTGCTACTCTGGACATCTTAATAACTGCTGTATGTAGACCAAGAAATATGAATTTTATATACAGGAGACTTGTACAACCTACTTTGCCATTATCAGAATGAGAAATCGTTCGTTTGTGCGTTAGAATGGACAGTTTAATTATCTATTAAACAGCTCCTTTGATAGCTGAGGTTGAGGAAGCTGTTCAGTGGTGGAGGACTCACAGAAATCATAAGGAATGGCCCTGTGGCTCAGTGCCAGGGCACTGCCTCCTGTGTGCAAGGCCCTCACTTTGATTTCTCATACTGAAAGAGAGCAGAAGGCAGTCTGTTTTGTTGGCAAACCCAGCTACTGGTCCATGTAGTTCTCAGTGACCTTTGGTTGTTCTATTTTCCCTTGAAGAATCTTCCAGTCTCTGTGTGGATGGGGATAGGAAATACATAAGATAAGAATTTGTCAGCATCTTATGAGAGTACAGGTGTATGCACTGGATTGCTGATTTCCCAGAATTCCACTTAATTTCCATTTTGAATATGGAATCAGTTGCATCATCTGACCTAAAACAAAATTTATCCTTGCTCAATATTCACAGAATCAGATCTGCTGTTTTCTTTTAGGCTTTGGGGATGGTGTGTTTGGAATGGCTAGGCATGTCAGGGCCATAGGATGCCTTTAAACATATCAGTCCAATATCTTCTGTTTCCTGCTCCAAAGCATTTCTTTATCTCCTGTGGTTAAGAATCGGATTTTTCTCATGAACTTTTCCTCCTCCATGTCTGGATTTCAAGTCTTCCAAATCTGAGTCTATTACTGTTTGTCCATATGTTCAACAGTAGATCGTTTGATTTATTTATATTTCCATCTCTTTTCATTTTAGTCAAGACTTAGAAAAAATGATAAATTTCATGTATTTAATCTTTGTTTCACCTGCTTCAAAATAACCCTATTTTATATTCATCTGTTTAAAATGAAAAAGGAAGCTTCACGGATCAAGCAAAATACATCACCTCCCCACTGCCTTCCACAAAGCATACATGCCGAGACTTCCAGTGGATGCCTGAAACTACAGGTAGCTCTGAATTCGGCACAAACGCTGCCCTGTCCAACACCACACTGTTGATCTATGGTGAGGGTAGTACACAGTGGGAGGAATCGCTGGGCAAAAGAGTGACTCATATATTGGGTAGACCAGTGTAGGACAGCAGAGTTCATCACTCTGCCCAGTGCAGCAGGGAATTCAGAATGTGAGAACTGCTCATTTCTGGAATTTTCCATCTAATATTTTCACACTTCGGTTTACTGCAGGTTGTTAGAAACACAGGCAGTGAAGCTGAAAATGAGGGGATAATGATGTGCTCTTGTCAAACTTTTCATTTGTTGAATTTTTCCCCCCGGAAGTCATTTGTGAAGAGAAGTCAAATGACTAAACTCGTGACAAATGTAAATGTCATTTCCACGATCACCTCTGTACTACACATAGGCTCTTTCTCCAACCACTACTTTCAAAAATGCAGGGCGAGAACAGGCTGACCATATCTTGGATGTAGTGTGCTTGCTTTGGGTCCATATTGTAAACTAGTTGACGGCAGACAAGCGTTTCCAGCCACTGCTGCCTCTGAGGGCCTTGTCTCTAAGAGCTGTGAGTACCACTGGTCTAGCAGCGACAAGGTCATGTCTTTGTTTCCACTGCCATGGCCAGCTAAGGCAAACGATGAGAGAAGCGGAATTTAGACACTAGTATCCTTGATGTTTTAGCTTGTAGATTAGTGAGTCAGGGCGGTTTTGGTTTCTCACCAAGTCACCCCGCGTACACTGGATCTTGAACGAAACTTTCATATTTTTGTTACTTGTAGAGCATAGCATTTTGAATATTTGCGTGCCATCATCACCTCCATGGAAGAGTTCTGCACTGAGTTTTCATTTCCTGTTAACTAGGGCAAACACTCCTGTTAGAATTGACTGTATTGTTTTGGTGGTGGGATTTCACCTGTATGCAAGTACTATCTCAACAAATTCGAGGGAAATATTGGAACATATTTGTGACTGATGCTTTTAGGAGTGGAGACTTGCTGAGAAGAGTTTAGTATATGTCGGAGAAAAGGTAGATAAAAAAATCCCTAATATCTCTGTAGTATTAAATGGCCTGGGAGCCGTTTAGCTGGAAATCAGATGTGGGAGTAATTATTGCACACACACATTACAATGTTACAACTAATTGTTGTTTATCTTTGTTGAAATCTGAGACGAAATAAAGCCCAAAGGTATCTATTCAACCAGTACTTAAAATCGCCATGGCAGATGATGGATGGACATTAGAATGCTTATGATGGGGTACAGCTCACGGGAAGAAAAAAAGCTCTTAACTGTAGCAACCTTCTCCTTCAAGAATGGTGACAGGTCCTGCCTTAAGGCAGGTTCGCCTGCTTGGCTTCTTGGGAGCCTTTCTTTGAGCCGTTTCAGCTGCTGGCCTTCAGATGCTGAAATTGAACTAGACACAGCCAAGTGTGTGCTCTTTTAGAAGCTCCAGCACAGCTAGAGGCGACAATGCCACTAGCAGCGATGACAAATTGAAGACTTCACTCAAAGGTGAATCAGGTCAGCATGGACCTAGGCCCATCCCTCTTCAGTGTGCACAGAAATGAGCACCGAGTTCCAGCAGGGAAGGCCTGCCAGGAGCTGACAACCACAGGACACCCTCCTCTATCATCCACATAAGCTCTGACATAGGGACCAGTAAGGGGTGGCTGGTTAGCTGGTGCAAGGTGGAAGGGACTCGCCCGCTTCGAGCCACGCTCCTGGAAACATGAGTTTCTCCAACAATGACCAGGTTCCTTTCTCACCATGCACTTGGTGGCTTCCACACCGGGTGCTCGCCTCCGACAGAGCGGTCTCTTTCCTGGCTGCGGGCTCTTGCCGGAGGGCGTAAAGGAAAACGCTCATTCGCTCGCTAGGGGTCCTAGTGTCTTCCCCGCAAGCTCCTGTTTTTGCAAACGTGATAGGTGGCCGGCGGCTGCCACAGCCTGAGAGAGCAGCACAGGGAGGGGGCTGGCAGGGAGGGAGGCGCGGAGGTGGGGCGGCGGGAGTGAGGGGGAGGGCGCCAGAGCTCTGCGGCGCCCTGCTTGGTCTCTGCCGGCTGGCGGTGGCTCCGGGTTCCCCTGCGCTGGTGCTCACCGTCTCAGTCTCTCCGCCCGCCCTCGCTCCCGCTCCCGAGCGCGGAGGCGAGCCGTAGCCCGGCGCGGCGGTGGGCGTGTGCGCGCTGAAGGACGCCTCCTCTCGCTCCCGTGTTGCAGGCGGCGGCTGGCGGCTCCGGCTCGGGCAGCAGCGGCGGCTTCCGGAGTCCCGCGGCGAAGATGCTGAAAGTCACGGTGCCCTCCTGTTCCTCGTCCTGCTCCTCGGTCACCGCCAATGCCCCAGGGTCTGGGAACCTCGTCCCGGATTACTGGATCGACGGCTCCAACCGGGATGCTCTGAGCAATTTCTTCGAGGTGGAGTCAGAGCTGGGACGGTAAGACGAGGGGCGCTGGACCAGGCGGAGCGTGGAGGCGCGGGCTGGGGCTGGGGATTGCCTGCAGCGTGCACGCTAGTGGTCCCTCTCGCTGCGACACCTGAGGGTGCCGGACTAGCCTCCTCTACCTTTGATCTCTCCCCTGCCTAGACAGTATCTGGGCAAGAGCTAAACTCTAGTCCGAGGCAACCAGGCTCTCCCCTGAGCGCCTAGGCCGGTGCAGCTGCGAGCCTCCGCCAGACTCTCCCGCCCTGCCAGTGTGGAACTGGCTGCCACTTGGGTGATCTCTCCTACCGCACGTGGACTCTGCTTTCCTAATTAGTGTCTTTGCACAGATTATAGTTTGTCAGAGGGACTTGTGTGTCTAGTTAGTTTTGGGTTGGGGACTGCAATTGTGCCCCTCTCCACCGTGATGGAATTATTAAATTAGATTCTTCCTGCTTCCCCTCATCACGCTCTCCAAAGCAAGTGGCACTAGAAATTTAACCTAAATACTAGCTTCCCCATAGCGTGTGCTCAGGAGAAGGCGAGAATGAATCATTTAGAAGAGTTAAAGGCAGAGTAATGAAGTAGTGGGGATTTAAAGAGAAAGCAACTCATGGGGGCCAGGCAGGGGTAATTAGTGAGAAGAGCTTTGAGGCTCCTCTTTTATGTGCTCGAGTGGTTTATTTAAATCGTGTATGCAAAAAGTCATCCCGTTGGGAGAGCAGATGCGCCCCCTCATCCCCACTCTGAAGATCTGAACAGGTTTTACCTTGAGATTGATTCCGTGTGTTCTCAGATCTTTACCCACTGATAATTATTTTTGTATCCCCCCCCCCTTTTCTGCTGTCCACAAGCACGGAAGGAGACTTGTTTTCAGTACTGTTCAAATGCAAAGCGTCCATCGGAGGGAATCTGAACACGATTGAAAACTGTTGCCAAGTTGTAACTCCTCCCCCGCCCACCCCCCGTGCAATTTAATCATTCCCCTTTTGCTGGTAGTAGCTTATCTAACAGCTTTTTAATTTTAATTTTTTGATGCTGTTAAGAGACGATGTCATTGGATTTTGGGTGTTCGTACTTAGTGGGAAGGATTTGCTCGCTCTGATTTTCCTTTCCTGAATACAAGTGGTGTGTAAAAAGATAAAACTTTTGAAAGGGAATTTGTTATTCTTGCTGTTTAAAATCCTCAAGCTATTTGATCACTGAGCAATGTATTCGTCCACGCCTGTTTTTCAGACATGTTTCTGGGGGGGGGGGATTCATTGCAAGGCTGTTGTAGACTGAAGTGAGGTAGCAACGGATGCTTTTGTAAGGTTCAGGAAATCATACTTGGGTGACGTGCTGAGCATTGTGGTATAGAATTGATTAAAGAGATAATCTACTTAAAATTGGTTCCTCAGTGCTTTAGAAGTTGCCAGGTAGGGAGGAAGTGCCTGCTGCAGCTGAGGGATGGCCCCACAGCGCCCCTGAGCAACGCCCCAGAAGCCCCTAACGAGTTCCGACGTACTAATTGCACTATAAAGAAGCTTTGCCATCACTTCAAACACTTTGATTTGAGAAGTGGGAGAATTCCGAGTGTACGTGTCCATAGGATGGTGGATTCACAGGGAAGCTGTTTTTGAATTTGGCTTGGTTTTAATTTGGCCCTACAGTCTGCATTCTCTTGGGGTTATACTTATAAATCTACTATAAATTGCTAAGACTTGCCCTGCTATGTAGACTTTTTGTTACCCTACAATCACCAAATTAAACTATTCTAAGAAGAAAAACATAACCCTTCATAACCATGCTGAACACCTCCTCTGTAGGTGGCAGTGTTGATGAGTAGTGAGCTCGCACCATTTCGTTAAAATGGATCGATATTTTTTTTTTTTACTTCATAATCTGTTATTTTTTCTCAATGAGGTAAACCTAACACATGGACCAACTGGCATGCCAGCTATAATTGTTAAAAATCTATGGAGTAAAAGACAGAACTTTTGTACTCACTGATGGAACCACAAAGATGTTTGGTCTTTGCACTAGTGATCCATTCGAGCTCACTTGAATTGATCTCAAGATTGTTCGTTCTGTTTTGGGTCAAATCTGGGGGCCAGTGTTGACCCTACAGTCAGCTTGATTCTTTCGTTCCCACTTGTTACTGTGACATTCAGTCAGCAGCATTCTGGTGCTGGGTGGGCCACTGGTTAGTGTCACAGTGTAGACAGTCCCCTGTAGGTGAATGGGTTCAGTATACACACGCCCCTGCAGGTAAATTGGAGATTTTTTTTTTTTGTTTCATCTCCTAAAGTGATCTGTTATAAAGTGGTGACTCCCGATTCCAGGAAAGTTAGATTCAAGGCCATATGGACCATATACCCTGAGCGTGTGCCTGGAGGGTCAAGTGGAGCTAAATTCCTGAAGCCCCTGAGCCTGTGGTTCTCAACCTTTGGAAGGCTGCAACCCTTTAATACAGTTCGTTATGTTGTGGTGACCCCCACCATAAAATTATTTTCACTGCTACTTCATGACTGCAATTTTGCTAGCTATGAATCATAGTGTAAATATCTGATATGTGACCGCCCTAAAGGGGTCACAACCCCCAGGTTGAGAACCACTGCCCTGGACTGTGCTTAGAGAAAGCAGGTATTGACAGAATGATCCTTTTGTAGTCATCTGGCACAAGGCAGGGGTAACTCTTTTTTTGGCAGTATGTGTAGGCATAATGAATGAATTATTTGAAAGTGTCAGGCAAACCATGTTTTTTTTTTTTAAAAAAATCAAAACTAAAAATATTTTGGTATTTCTAGAGCTTATTAAGTTTACAAAAGTGACATTATGCCAACCAGGCTACTTAAAGATTCGAGCTGGCCGTGATCCTATGCAGGAATCCATGCCTAGAGAGCAGCCGGTCCCCCAGTGATTTGAGAGACCGGTGTTCGAAGGCTTTTCTAATGGAGCAGAGAGCTTAGCTCTGACTTCCATCCCTCCTAGTGGTTTGGTGACTGGGAAGACAAGACTTGGCTTGCTGTGCTCTGTGGTGAGGGTTTGGCCCTGTGCATCCGAACCCACATCCTGATGTCCATTGGCCATTATCTTTTGTTTGGACTTGTTGCACCATTTTGAAAGGATGTTTTTAATGAACTCAGCTGTGTTCCCAAACATCCAAATGCGGAAAACCAAATGTTAGCCCACTTGACTAAAAGAAAACACATTCAATTATTCTGGATTTTTACTATAGTTGCCTTAGGTTTGTGACCTTTAGCTCCCACCGACTAAAGTCATTATTTAAAAAAAGGGTTTATGTGACAGCTCAGTTATCTGTTGTCTATCTTGTCTGTCTGCCTGTCTTATCTATTTGTATCTTTTGTTGTTTAAGCTCCAGCTCGATTTTAAATAGTGAACTATGTGGTCATTTGTATAGACTAGAAACAGTTTCACTAGCCGGTGCCTAATCTTACTGTCAGCACTAGAGTATAGTATTTTATGTTTTATTCTGTTTCATTATATTCTTTTTTATTCAAAATATTTGCTGAACTCATGTGGTCTGCCATCCTACTAACAAGTTGTGGCTCAGTTAGAAAGTGTTATTTTTGGGCATAAATCTGAGCATGCCAGATTCCACTACGAGGCAGAGTCGTTTAACGCCATGTCTTGCAGACCATTTGGCAGTGTTGCCCTGAGAAATGTCCACTTGGCACAGCGCTGTGGAGAGAAATTCTTCTTTCTTCGCCTCCAAGTCCTTATTGTATTTTTTTCCTTTCAAAATTTTAAGAAAACACTGGTGTCTCCAAAAGATCCACTGGGCACCCAGGAATCTGAACTAGCCTCAGCTAGTCTCCAAAGGGGGCTGGTGCCAGGGGACACTTAAGGTGTGGAGGGAAGAAACCTGGAGAGGGAGGAGCTGTGTTTTCGGGTCTGTTAACTCTGGCCCAGCAAATGCCGCTTGCAAGGAACCACAAATGTGTCTTTTCTAGAAGGTCTTCAGCTAGTGCTCTTGGCGTGTCTTAGCTCTGTCTGCTTGGACCGCAACAACAAATCCCTGTGTGGCTTAAACCACGAAGGTTTGTTTTGCACAGATCTGGCGGGGAGGGGTTCAAAACCAAGATGCCGGCCAATCTCTTTACCCCACGGAGAACTTTCTTCCTGTTTTGAGTGGTGGTTATCTTCTGCTGTGTTCTCAGAAGATAGAAGGGAAGAGGAATATACACACATATACGTACATGTATATCCATATCTATGTATATTCATATATTAGAACAATTTCTCTAAGCTCTTTGCTGTCTCATAAGATCATCTATCCTGTCTTGAGAGCTCTAGCTTCAGGAGTTGATCCTGAATACAATTCCTTCCCAAAGACTGTATTCCAGTTGCCACACTAAGAATAAGGTTTCAACACATGAACTTCTACTTTGTACTGTGTTATCTAAGAATATTTTCATATATATGGTACTTTGAGCATCTCCCCCATATCCCTCTGTCTCCACTCTCTCAATCCACACCGTTAGTTTCCTTTGTGCCCTGGGAAGTTTCCCTGTTACTTTCATGCCATATTGTATTCATATTTTATCAGCATATACATTTGAAGGGGACAATTCAGTCTATGCTATAGTTGGTGAGGAATCAGAATCATCTTTTTCCCTTCCCCCTTCTTTTTCTTTTGCCAAGCACCTCCCTGAATATTCTCTTGGCTATTACTTCCCAGGATCCACGCCTTTTCCTTGCACCATCTTTTAGGGCTCCACAGCCTGTTTGCTGCACCCCGCTGGCCACTGCTCTGCTTTGTACTCTATTCTGATGGCTTAGCCTCTTTGGTGATTACATGTTCCTTTAAAATTGGGTGTTTAGTGTGATGATGAATTTTTCCATGCAGTTGATTCTTAGTCAACTCGGGAGCAAGGTGTGACACCAAATACAAGCATAGAGGCTCATGTAGAGGCTCTTTGCAGTAATCCTGACTTGGCTTCCAGAAGGCAGGGTCCATGGGTTAGCCCTTTGGACTATTACTTAGTCATTGCAGCACAGTGCACAGCACT